TACTGCTCCGACCATTTCTTCCACAGTTTCTGGGTATATGCTTGCACCATTTGCCAAGCTGACAGTCTGTTTTCGGGAATTGGTCAGAGATTGGGCTCTGGAATGGCCGTCAGAGGCCGCTGAATCAAGAAATGTCCTGGTGTAAGCGCTTGGAAGTCGTCTGGATCGTTGCTAATGCGTGTCAGCGGCATGCTTGGCATACACAGTTTTGGTCACGAACTGCTTATTGCTAATAACTTTGCACACAGTTGACGTAACATAGTTATTTTTAGCATTTGATAGAATAGAGTTTAAGCTTTTTATAGATACGTAAAAAACAGTAGATTTTAATTCTAGTAATAAACTGTATTTGTTTTTGCGTTGTAAAAATTAAGTGAGAAATGCTCGCTGCACATCTCGGACTTTAAGTGTAAATAATCATTGGTGTTGATTCAAATGTTAAAATTTATCTACTCTTTGCATATCTATAGTAAACTATCAATTACTATAAAGAAAAACAAATTTCAACTACTGAGTGAAAAGTTATTAACAAATGTGCAGTTGGTGTGTACAACTGTGTATGCCAAGCATGGTCAGCGGTCGGGAATTCAGGATTGCTTCCGTCCGAGCCAGCATGGTCTGCATCTGGTCGTATACCAGGCTGCGGGTGCCAATCGTTCGTTTGAACAGGATCTTGAATGATTTAACCGCTGATTCCCAAAGCCCTCCGAAGTTCGGTGATCGTGCCGGAATGAACCGAAGTTCGATTCTATCCTCTGCCGTATGTCGTAATACTGCTTCTTTGAACTGTTGGCTGTCGAACAACCGTGCGAGTTCATCCAATGAATTGGCGCCAACAAAGTTCTTCGCGTTATCAATCATGATGAGAGACGGTTTTCCACGACAAGATGTGAACCTCCTCAACGCAGCCAGGAACGCTTGAGTAGTGAGATCCGCTGATAGCTCCAGATGCACTGCCCTTGTGACCAAGCATACGAACACTGCCACAAATCACTTGATCGGATGCACTGGACGCTGAGGGTGGACTACGTAAAACGACCCGCAATAGTCGACACCAGCCTTCTGGAATGGGCAGCATTGCGTTATTCGCTCGGGAGGTAGGTCTGCCATTAATTGCTCCTGGATTTTAGGTTTCGCGCGAAAGCACTTGACGCATTCGTGGATGACTTGTCTAGTCAGTTTCCTGATGCTTGTAGGCCAGAACTGCTCTCGGACGCTGGAAACTACTTATTGCTGACCGGCATGAAAATGCTTCTGATGATAGTAAACTACAATTGCTCGTGCGAAGGGATGTCGATGATCCAGGATTGCTTCCATCTAGATAGGAGACGACGAAAGCCAGCAAATGAAGATGGTTGAGTCTGCCCAAAAGAAGCATTTGGCAGTAACGTTGATGCTGTTGACAATTTTCTCGTAGAGGTGCGCTAGAAGCAATGCGGACGATAGTTCCAGGCGAGGAGTCGATAATGATTTCTTATTTTTCTTAAAATAGACCGCTTCCTCGTGTTCCCGTTAAAGACCAAAGGTCTACTCTCACTCTCACTCTGCTCCATTTCCTCAGAGCTATCAAGCGATAGACCCCCGCCTTTATTTTTACCATTCATTGGGGTGACTTGAGATACCACCGCAACGGAATTTGCTATTAATTGTTTATATTTTCCACAAATTTCAAATACATGGATTGAAATTGGAAAGGAAACATTAAGAAAAGGAAGTTCAATCTTGTGGGTAAATTGCTCAAAGTGTTAATAAAAAATAAAAAAATAAAATAAAATATGTGCATAAAAAAAAACCAAATAAGATAATGAATAAGAATAAAAAATAATAATATGTTGGAAAGGAAATTCAACACTGCAGGGGGATTCTATAGAATGTATAGAAACGTCAAAGTGATTCGATGCTAGCGTTGCGACAAGTAGTTCGCGGAACTGTTAATATTCAAATCAACCGTTAAATTCGTAAACGAAGATGCACAATGAAGAGTTATTTCTGTTTGTCTGTGGTTCGGAGTCTACCTGCAGAGTCACACAGTTGGAAGAATTTACACTCAGTCGGCAATCTGTTTGTAGGTGAGGATGGCTATTTAGTTTCTGTGGTGCTCGCGCAAGTGAATGAATTTCCCCAAGCTTGAATGAGTTCAACTTATTTTCCCGATTAAATGGAACAAATATAATATAAGAAAAAAAAAACGGTTTTCTTGGATTGATGATAATTTTTTTTCCAATCAAAACGTGCCAGAAAAATAAAAATAATTGATCGGTAAGCTTCCCGTTAAATAACAATTTGTCCCGATAGTTACAGCTTATGAAACTTATATTTAACATTGTCAAACTTTGCACTGAAGAGCTGAATCATTTCAAGCTTATTACGAGTTATTTTTAAAATGTCTATGTACAGTTGATTTGTCTGGGTGAGTAAAATTGAAATCTGTATATAGGGTAACTGATGATGGTTGGACCTATTTAGACCGGTTTCACACGACGTCAACTTTCATGTCGTATTTTTTTTTTATGAATTCAACATATAACTATGAAAAATGCGTGATTAGGGGAAAGATCTACCTTTCTTGTTTCTAATAATAACATAAAAAGTTAAATATTGTGAACAAATGATTTTATAAAACGTTTTTATTCAGCAAAGAATTATGATGTTGGTTGGAACTATACTGATCATGGTTGGACCTAAAAAATGATGATGGTTGGACCTAGTTTTGCAAATGCTAGTTTAGTCAATATTTGTTCAAAAACTTTGTTTAGAGCTTATTGGTATCATGAAAAAACCCTTTTTATACAGCTTTTATGAATTTGCTATTTAAAAAAAAATCAAGAAATTTGAGTTTACCTTCATTTTTAAAAAAGTTCACTTTCCACGCATTAGCTATTTATCATGGCTCATTTTCTCGGAAATCATTGACCCGATTTGGAAAATTTTTAACGTCAAACTATAGGTATTGTGGTCCCATTGAAAGCAATCGAATGTTTTTGGAATTGGTCAACTGGTTCCGGAGATATGGCCGGAACAAGTTCCAGGGTATATGGAACATGGACCTAATTTTGACATGGAAGGAATAAAACCTATCATGCGACACTTCACATTACTTCCAATTTCGATAACAAGATCAATAACAAAATTGAGTGCCTTGGACCACATTGGCCACTTCCGGGCATGTTCTGGGTGCCCCCGGGGAATTTAGGGGCTTAAAATGACAGAATATCAGAACTTAATTCCGGTTTTATAGTTCTTTTTTCTCCTAGGAGTTTTTTTTTTCGGAAATAAGTTTTATTTAGCAATTTTTAGTTTGTTAACATTTTATTTCAAATTAATTCACACATAGAAGGTGTATGAGAAGTGCTTAATGTAAATTCATATTAACAGATTCTTTTGGCGCTTTCGTGGTAGTTTGGAAATCGGTGGTTACCCTTTCAGCCAATCTGACGATGGAATTCCTCCTTTAAATTTACGCCCAACTAGTGACGCAAGGTCTTTAGCAGCTTCCAAGATCTTTTTGGCCGTCTTGGCACAGCCAGAAGCAGCGCACATACAAACCCAATCCACTAGCTGGTTCTCCAAACAACACTCAACACTATTTCCCTTGCATATTTCTTGCCGTGGCTTCGCCCGTAATTTTTGCGTGAAGTGTCGTTTTCGGAATATTGTACCTTTTCTGTGCCTAATTCGCGGTAAGTGATTTATTTCTTACTAAAAGAACAATCTCTTGAAGATTTTCGACCGTATAACTCTTTTCTTTAGCCATTTTTTCAATCGAAGAAACTGATCACTTGGCCAAAACGAAATGGAATCCAAATCAGCTGCGCATGAAGGATGTAGACAAACCGAAGCGCACCTTAGGAAACACATAGGTCCAACCATGATCATATTTATCTATTTGAATTTCGTCAATTATTCGAACATTTTAGTGAAACCAATGGATAAATGACGTACTAACGTGTTGTTTACACCTTAAAGCAGTATTTTACTGCATGAAAATAAAAATAAATGTAAAAAACATTCCTTTGTATGTTTGAAAGTAAGGCATGATGACGAGCAAATGCGTGGAAAGTGAATTGTTTTGAAAACACATTGAAACCCAATTGTTTTGAAGTTTTTTCTATAAAACACCCAAGCAAATTGAAGAAAAAGAGTTTTTCATGATAGTAAAGTGATCTTTGAAAATAAAAAATTAGCGAAGATTGACTAAACTAGCGATTGAAAAAATAGGTCCAATCATCATCAGTTTTTGGATAGGTCCAACCAGAATCAATTACCCTAATTTGAACTCGGAAAAATCTAGAAAGCTCCTCGTTGGATTATTCTTAAATAGGTCATTCTTATAAAAGATAAAAAAAATGTATATTTTCAGATAGTGAATGATTCAGAAAATCTTTGTTACAACATTGTTCTACCACACACACCGTGAAAGAGTGGCCAACATTTTGATACAAAGTCTTTGAAAAACACCAAGCATTCTGCAGAAGACACCCACCCATCATGTTCATTGTCAAATGGATCAATCTTACCTCAGCAGTTAGTTGCGAAGGTCCTTCTGGGAAGATATGGTTCGGGATATAAATGCACATTAAACGTTTCCGTTTTTGAGGCATCCTACCCCAACCAAAATCTAGCATCATTTTTTTTTTAATTTAATACCGAAATAATTATGGTAATGCTACCACGTACCGCCTGCAAGTTAAGCAGACAATTATGGGAACGATTCTTCCATACAAAGGCAATCATTCCTTTTATGAACACAACTTTCCCAGAAAACATGCCGCACTCTCCTACTGGGTTATTATGTCCGTATTGGTTTTGCGCCACTGAAACCATACTTAATTATATCAGTGGCACGTGCCGAGTGACCACGAGCCTGCTGGGATTTTCTATCAACATAATTAGATCGGAGAGCGAGAAGCCCTAGCATTTTTTTTCTGAGAAATGCCAATTAATTGGTTTGGTGTGATATAAATCCGCACAAATACCACAGCCGGAAAAAGGGGTCTTACCTGAACATCCTTGCACATGAGTGCAATCACAAACAGGTTGAGAAAGAACCCGAAGAAGCCGATGAAAAAGAGCGTCACGGCCGCAGCAACGTACGCCCATGGTTCCATCAGCTCCGGTGGAGCCGGCACAGGTTCCCGCCCATAGCCCCCGACCAGTTCGGGAAAGCCCTCGGTTGCACCAGTAATGATAATAGCGCTGCTGGTTCCGCCACTGTTGCTACTGCTGCCACCGCCGCTGCCAACACTGCCACTATTGTTACCGTCCACCGAGATAGTGCCACTGGCAGCACTGATGGTCGTGGTGGTGACGGTTGTCGTTGTCGTCGTTGTTGTTGTCGTCGTCGGTTGCTGAGTCGAGAGGATGAGCAGACTACTGAAATTGGCCACATGGATGACGCTGATATCGGTCATCATTTCGGAAGACGACCACAGGATTTTCTCGGGCGGTGCTGATGATGGGACATTTTCCGAATTTTGCTTTGCTCTTGCTTCTGGGCCCGATGGTGGTCACATAGAGAGCCGGAAACAAGGGTGGGCGAGGGTGGTAAAGCGAAAAAGCGATTAGATTGGGCGGTTTCGGTGCGATGTAGCACGATTCGGTGGTTGCAATCAATGGGTTACGCTGTTTTTCGATGATTTATAATCACTTTCTGTGGCACCGGGTTAGGCAAACGGTGCGAAACTATACGATGATAAGTGGGTCGATTATCGATTTCCTTTGTTCTTACAAAGCTACATGGTCACTTTGGTGCAGGGATATTGGGCAACCGATGGGTTTTTGTTCTGCAAAGAGAGGGGGAAAAAATTACATTAGTGGTAAGTTGAATGATGTTCAGATGACATGGGGTTAGAGGAGTTTCATCGTTTATCAGTTGCTACCCGTGGATGGCAATTGGTCAATTCGACAGTGAGTATTTATAAGGGCCTAACTGCGATGATCGATTCTCGTCATCGATTTTCTCTTTAAATTGCTACAGCCAAGGAAAGCAATTTTCTGAAATTTGTTCAATGCAGTGCGGTAACAGGTCGTATTGGCATCAAAAGCAACAGTGCATCGAGAAATGGTAATCCAAGCGAGTTATTTACATAAGAGAAAATCGACGAAGCAAATTGATCATTGCAGTTAGTCCCTCTTACATGAAGAATTATACTATGGAACGGCGGGGCATAACCATTAGCAGAAAATCCCGGATATTATAATTCTAGATAGAGCTGGAATTAGGGCGTAACAGCTTTTGTAAACAATGACTTCTCTCGATGATTTCTCGAAAGTCGTGACTCTCCCTGGCAAATCGACATCACCTTCGAGTAGGGGAATACTTCTCCTACCCGATGGATGTGTTGCTTTGTGTGGGCCTGCATTGAATTCCAAGAAATCAATGAGAGAAGTCATTGTCTACAAAAGCTGTTACGCCCTAATTCAAGCTCTATCTAGAATTGAGGCGCGACATAGCAAGCCATTCCGTAGCATATTGCTCAAAGTAGGAGGGACTTGCTAATGCTCATCTAAAAACATAAATATAGGTACCACCTGATAATTTCAGTGTTTGGTACTGAAATCGGTGATTTGTGATATGGAAATCATTTTTTACCACCACAGAAACATCCCATTATTTTAGAAATAATGAATTAGCGGTGATAAAAAAACATAAAACCTTAAAAAAAAAGCAATAGCACAATTCACTTAAATTCTCTTTCAATTTCATCTCAGAGGTGTCTTAAAATTGTTCTTAAAAATTTCCCTAAAATCCTTTAGAAATTCGGTTCGCGATGCCCTCGCAAATTCCCCTAAAATTATTGTCAGAATTCCTTTAGAATTGTACCCTCGAAATTTGATCCCCTTTGTATTTTTTACGGATCCTGGAATCCTTTTCACAATCGATGAACTCACACAAGTGACTTGCCGTTAAAGTCTAAAATCCATAATGGCGGTAAGCTCAAACTCGGATTAACTTTTAATACCGTCTCTGTTTGGATGATCTGCAAAATGTTTGCTTAGAGTCGTGTTGATAACTCTGATGTCGACATCAAAGCAGCTGAAGCAAATATTTTCCCAATTTGTCATCGAAATTCGCTGGTTTTCCCGGGGTCTTCGAATTCACAGTTCACTGGTCAACCTGCTCATCCCACACCTGCCCGATATCATCCGATCGACTCTCCAGCAATGAGAGACAGAGCTTGTTGCAGAGGTGAGCCTCCTTCCACCCCATCACTGATTGTCATGTTGGTATCACTCATCACGCCCGGTCACAGCTCGCCACAATTCTAGCTCGTACCACTGGCGTTGATTTTGCAATTACTTGCTGCTGGTCCCATGCAAAAATGCCGTCCGTCGCGAAAATGAGTGAAGGCGCGATAGCAGCTCTGTTTTATAACATTGCAGGTTCAAGCAGAACGATGTTCCATCAAGTGGTACTCGATTATAGCGACTGGGTTGGGAAAACATTGTATTTAAAAAAATATATATATTTGTACATTTTTCAAAACTTTTGTTATGGAAAATTAGAAAAGAATTTATTTCAACAGATTCGTAAAGTTATTTCCTATCGATTGTTATATTTGGATTTCCATTTCCTCTATAAATGACAAACTTATAAGCGTACAAAACCTAACGCCTTTTCGTGATGGTCACAATTTTAGATTTTCGATTTACCCCCTGTACCTTCCCATAAGACGTAGTCTACGTCAAAAAAGAATGTAGAAGAAGTTTGAAGACCCTTCTGGGGAAGTCAGATAAAACATACAATGAAAGTCGTAAGACGACAGAAGGACTTCTTGAGGATGTCGCAGGGCATTTTTTCACTTCAGTTGGCAGTTTAGTAGTCGGAAGAAACATTCGAGGGATGTCCAAAATAAACCTTCCCAGGAAAAAAAAACTTGGAAAAAGTCGAAAGACACTTCGAGGACTTCTGGAGGATGTTGAAATTGTGGTACCTGAATAATGCATATTTTTCAGTTACCGAAGCAGCAATTCGCTAATGAATATGCAGTTCATATAACAAATCAGTTTAAAATACCTCTAAGCTACGTCCGGCACCATGTTTCATTTTGATGATGCAGTATTATGGCGGATAATTGAATCTCATTTGAGTTAGCAGACTTTCAATTTGTCCTTTATCTGTTCAATTAAAATCGATCATACTCCACGCTCTTCCAGATTTTCAACAAGTAGAAGTTTCCAGAATTGATCTCAAAGTAATCTGGCACACTAATGCTTCCTAGTGGCACGATTTATTGGGTTATGAGTACCTATTATCGACTTCGACAGTGTTCTCCAACATTATCATTCCTTTTACTTCAGTCAAGGGTCGGTAATAAAATCCCCAACGCTCCCCATCCAAAGCTTATCTACACCCCCTTCCACCGAATATCATCATACGCACATGTGTAACTTGAAAGTTTTAGATAGTAACTTGTGTAAAATACTGCGCTCAGCTTAGCTCCACCAAACGGTACTCGTTAGCTATGTTACACCACATAAAGAGCCACCCAGGTGGAAATTACGAGCGTCTGGCGTCTGAACATCACCAATTTGGGTTGTATCGCTCATCGACGTGAAAGTTTTGTAAACTTGTCGATGGCAGTTGCTGCCGATTGTGAACTCCTTTGATGGTGATCAGGGATGCCAGATGATTTGAGAAAAAGTCTTCAACAAGATTGAAACAATGTTTTCAAATGTCTTCACGGCCATTTTTTAATTAATTGATTCCCACAAAGAAAATTCCCAGAAATGGTGCTGTTTCCTTGGTTGGAAATCAAGAATTCACGTGGCCAAGCACAATTTTCTTTGAAAATTAATTGTTAATTTACAAATCAATAAAACAGTTCATTTCCATACATTTTACTAACAAACATACTATCAAGAGAGTAAACTACTTTGTCTCTCACACAATTCTCTCTCCTACGAGCTCAATCTCTCAACATGCCATGTAGTTTGATGACATACGATTTGTGGTTTCCCTTTCACAGACTTCAGAATAGAGCATCTGGTACTGAAAAATTTGTAGGTATTTCGATTGAACTCAAAGAAGAATTCCATGAGAATTCTGAGCAACATTTAAAAGAATTTCTGAGCAGAAATCAAAAGTAATTAAAAAAATAATTTTATTGAAGTTAAATGAAGTTAAAATACTGAGGAAAATTCCATGAGAAGGTGACTTTGTAGACAATTCATATGAAGAAAGTACTAAGATGGACGAGGCTTGGTAGCTCAGTGGCTTACTGTGGTTACCGCAGAAGGTCGGTAGTTCAATCCCAGGCCCGTCCCCTTCCTTGCAATTTTTCACTTTGCTTTATTTTATCCCCACTAGATTTAAATGAAAACGAATTCTAACCAACCGATCGCATCACTTTACACAGTTGCATCCTGATCTAAAAATAACCCACCTCACTAACACAACTATCCTCCCCGTGAAAGCCGTTCTAGATGCACGGAGGAGCAACTAGGAAATGCGCGGTCTTTTATAAAAGATAAAAAAAAATATGATGATAGTACTAAGATGGTCTTTGAGGAAATACTAAGTTAATTTGAAGGAAATCATTAAACGAAAAAAGTTAGAGGTCGTATCCAATACACGATCGCAGATTTGACGTAGGATTACGTGATAGGTATCAATATTCGACGACTGTGTTAGGGAAACCACTTTTTCTCATCACGGGTATGCTTCGTTTTCTGATAACAAAGTTACGCATTTTCTTGCACAACACGGTGGCTTCTTGCTCCTTCTTCGGTGAATGGACACTCATGTGGGCTGCAACTCGCTGCTTGCGAGCAACCTTCCGTTGTGTACTGGAGAACAATGTTCAACGCCTCGCGCCGAAAGCACTGCTGCTACTGCTGATGACGACTGACCGGACACCACCACGCACCACCGTACGGCGAGATCGGATGGAATTCGATTTTGAAATCTGTGTTAGGGGAAGCACTTTTTGCAGGCACTCGGTGATAACTACTTTTCGTAACCCAGTCGATTTTAGTTTTTTGAAATTGCAACCCCAGTATGTTGCCGAAAGACGCAATCCTACGTTAAAATGTAGGGCATCAATATAATTCAGATCAGTAGGGCAGAGCACTACTTCGGCCTAATCGCCCATTTTGGGCCTATCGAGCAGAAAACTTCAAATAAATCCATGATTTCAGAGTTAACAAGTCAATTATGCGTTTGGTACGATACTTTAGTTAATAAGCTACCGAACGAAGTCAATGAGAACGCGTGGTATGAAAGTTTGCACCCATTATTCCCAAAAACAAAAGAAGCGCTCCCACCGAATCAATTTTTATCTTCATACGATAGGCCGAAGTGAATTCATTGGCGTTTCAATTGCGTTTCAATGCGTTAGGCTGAGTTTAAAATCCGTAGGCCGAGTTTGGCGTCAAGAAGCAGTGTTGGACTTTTGACAATATCTCAACGTTTGGTTTCTCGTTTTCAAATCTTATGGTACGTACGGAAAGGCAAATAAATTTGGAAGCCATCAGTAATAATAACATTCCGTTTGGTGCTAAACTGATCTAGATTAAGAAAGACTAAGTGCGTCTTATGCTTAATAGGCCGGAAATGGGGTATTTAACCCTACTGTCATGGTAAATTTAGAGCTGCTTACTCACTGTTTTTTTAGATACGCGTGCCTTGCTTATCTCAAAGCCAAGTGCCCCTATTCAGGAGCGTCATTTATTCTAATATAGGGACTTGTATATCTGAAAATACATACAAGATAGTTCCCCCAAAATGACACTGTCTGCATTCGGATCGCCATAAAACTTACTGAGATGTAGTTCTCGGAAC